TTGTTTTTTATAAATTCTGCTGGATGCTGAGCACATTACTTCTGCTCCGTGAGTTTAAATAAGGTAAACCTGACTGTGTAAAACAGGTCAATGGCTTAGTTTGTGTCTCCCGGCCTCAGAAGTGATTCTTTCTAAGACAAGGAGAGCTTCCTTCGCTGCTGCAGCTCTCTGAGCAGTTAAATATGCATGTGGCCAAACTCAGTCCTCGTAAAACCCAATTGACTTCATTCAAAAAACTCCTATAAAGATGACTGATGTCATTGGAGTCCCACCAGGGATGAATTTGGCCCATGCCATTCCTCCTGTTTAGTCATTGCATAGGAATGTAGAGAAGAAATGCATGCTGGGCTCTAGGACTCCATCTCTCAACAAAACTGCCAGGGCTGAAAAAGAATTACACGTGAATATAAATTTGTCTTGCACACTCCATTAGATCTTCCACATCAGCCACTGCTTTCAGCTGCCCAGGTACAAATCAGAATATCTCCTTTCACCGCTGAGGGCTGAGCAGGACTTTCTACACGAGTGTGCCAGGCCTCTTGGGAGCAAAAGCAGCAGCATTATCCCCAATTTACAGATGAAGAAACCAAAACAGGGAGCTGAAGTGATTTGCTTCGGCTCACATGTGGTGACAGAGGTAGAAGAGGTATTGAAACTTAAGTACTTATGGCTCCTCGCCACTTAGGCCATGTATTCCTGTGATATATCTTTTTAATTTCCCTCTCCTTTCCCCATCTCCCTTCTCCCCTGCCCCCAACACCATCAACATTGTCTGTAGCCACACAACTGGGAAGCTGGGATTAATCCATCCCTAGGGAAACTGGGATTAATATACAACTCATGCGGAACCTTTAAAAACCCAATGATTTGTGGTTCCCTTTTCAGAGGCACATGTAATCCACAGCTGAAAAGTAACTATTTGCTGTTCCAGTGCACATTCTGAGAGAGGCTTTTGCTCTGTTTTATGAATGTACACTGAAGACCCCATCTGACAGGATTTTTTCCTGCACCCAACAAAAAAACAGGCCGAGAAGGCTGTGCAGAATCAGGCTCTTATGGAGTAGTAACAGTTTATGGGCAGAAAAAGAATGACTGGAATGCAAAGGAGGGGAAAATAGAGAGAAAGATGTGCCAAGACATCTTTACATTTTCTCCTGTAACTGGAAATGGTTAAAAAAAAAAAAAAAAAAACAAAAAATCTGTGTTTCCCTTGTAAATCTTGCAGGAAGAGACAACTAGAGTCAGGTGCCCTCATTTTTACTCTTACAATCTCCCATTCAGTGATGTTTTTATGATGAAAACGCAAAATATAAAGCAACTGTGAAAACAGAATCAGTTCTCAATTGGCAGATAGAGGCCTAAGTAAGTTTTATTCGCTGGATGACTGTCGGATTAAAACACATGCAAAGAGAGAAAAGAAAAAGAAAGAAAGGGGAGGTAATTCATCATTTAAATTATTTGTGATCCTGATTCAAAAGGCACATTTCCCGTCTAATTTCTTTCATTTATTTTGGGGGTTGGTACGACTTATCTCTTCTGACTGTCATGATTTCATCTCTTCTTTGCTTTCCTTGGAATCACTGAACTGATACTGCCTAGCAAAATTCAAAACACTGGAGGGAACAGGCAAACTGTTCAACAGTGCAGCTGAGAGCATGACCAGAGAGATAGCCTTTGTTTGCACGAGGTTGAAAGTGGCCTTCTGGGAAGAGGAAATACACACACGTATATGAGTAGTACAAATGACATTAAGAGGCTGCGTGTGCGTCCTGTGCTCAGTATGTACACGTAGTTTTAATACATCCATAATTCTGATTATGTCAATTCTGGGGATTCTTTTTTTTAATTGCACATAAAAATACATGTCCAAGGAAATTCTTGGCAGGCAGATCACCAGGCTTCAGCCTTTGCAGATGAAACACTTCTCATGCCCAGCTGGGAGGAGCAGTTTCTCCACCTTTGCGACCCCACAGTTATAATGGTTCCCAGGAACCAGTAACTGACACGGTTTCTTACCTCACCACGGGTGTTTCAGTATCCTGGTGTTAGGGAGATGGCGGAGCAACCGTGGGAAAGCCTCAGTGGAGTTACCCTCCCTGCATCCCTCCCTTCCTCCCTCCCTGTGGACCCGACTCGGATTTCTGCCTAATAGTCACGACCTCTGAAAACGACTGGCTCGGAGCGACAGAGCCCTTCACTTTGTCCCTCCACGACAGGACCCCGGGAGCATCCCTATTCCTTTACTCTGTGCCCCACAAGAGAGACGGTGAAGTTCATCGGGCGTTTTCTCTCCGAATCTCCCTTTAGAAGAAATGCACGTTGCGGGGCGAGGGGGGAGAGAGGGGAGGAGAGGAGAAAAGACGAGACGAACCACCCAGCCCTTAGGCCGGCAGTTCGCGCCGTGTCAGCGCTCGGGGCTGCAGGTCGGTCCTCGGAGAGGCGCGGGATGCCGTGCCCCTTGTCCCGGCAGCGGCGCACGCCGGCGGCAGCCGGGACCCGCCCGACGCGCTGGCGGGGGCGGGTGGCCTTTTCCAGGGAGAGCTCCGCAGGCAGCGACCCGCGCGGGGCGAGGCGACCGCTCCCGCTGGGCTTGCGCAAGGAGAGGCAGCGAAACCCCAGCGGAGAAGCCGGGGGCGGCGTGGGGGGAACCCTGAGAGGCAGCGCAAATTGCCCCCGAGAGACGCTGCCGAGAAAAAAGCGCAGCCCGCTCCGGCTCGGCAAAAGCCAGGCCAAAAGAGCGATAGGATTCTCCTTCCTCCCGCCGGGCTCCGCGCAAAACGCGCCCGGCGGAGCGGCGCGCAGAGCTCCGCGCTCGCCCCACGGCGTCGAAAGCGCGGAGGGCCAGCCCAGGCGCGGGTGATTCCGCTCCCGCGCTCCTTGCTTGTGCCGAGCGGTTGGTTTTCAGATGGCTTTTAAGACAAAACCGAGAAAGCCTTTACGCGGTGTGGAACGCGGGCGGGAAGCAAAGCAAAAAGCGAGCTGGCTTCAAACCCTGCCCGTTGTCGCGGCCTCCGGAGCGGGATGGACCAGAGGCTCCATCTGGGCACCCTGCGCATCCCAAGGGCTTTCCCGCGCCGAAGGTGGGCTCCGCAGCACGCCCGCAGCAAGTGCCTTTAAATCAGTTACGATGCGCTCCAAACGGCGTCCAATAAAAAAGTGGGGGGAGAACCTCCCCTCACGTTCAAACGGCTCACAACTGCAACTTTTCCCCCTGTCGTTGATAGGATTCCTTGACCAAATAAAGAAATATTTTTTTTCTAAAAGCGGAGCGGGGAAAGGGGGCAAAAAGAACCGCTTTGGGCCGAGGGGCTTTGCGGCTTCCAAGCATCCGCTCTTCGGGCGCGCAGGAACCGCGGGGTAGATCCCATGTTCTTGGGAACGTGTCGCCGCGCTAATTTGCGGGAGGCTTTTCTTATGGCGGGGGGGAAGTGGCTTGTGACGGGGGGTGGGGAGAGAGGGAGAAGAGGGTTTAGGGTTTGCCGAGGGGGCGAGAAAGGAGGGCAAGAGGCGCTTCAAAGGCTCAGGCGGATCCCCCAGCCCTGGGAGCTCTCCCCCGTCTCCATCCCAAGCGGTTTCGCAGTGGAATAAACATCTCTGATGTAAGACAGCTGCCGGGAATCAAAGGCCGCCCCAATCAGCGCTGAACCGGCCGAAGATGCGACTGAAAAATGCCCGCTCCTGACAGGAGAAGGGAAGGGTGTGCGAAGGCGGGTCTCCCCGCAGCGCCTTCAGGCTGTGAAAGCAGCAACAGTTTGGCCATCATTCATCTGATTTGTTTTATAACACTTCTGACACCTAATCTTATCAGCTAATACCCAAGATTTAGTTACCCAAGACGATTTCTTTTTTTTTCCACACTAGCAGCAAAATTATTTGACTCCCTGCAGATCTGTTTACTTTTGCCAGCCTGGAAAAAAAAAAAAAAAAAAAAGGAAAAAAAAAAAAAAAGAAAATAAAATTAAAGGGAAAGAAAAATAAAATGGAAGAGAGGAAGGGGAAAGCTTATGCATAAAGGAAAGATCCAGACTTTCCAAGGCTGGTAGAAACAAGCACTGAGGAAATACCAAGTTAACTCAAAAAAAAAAAAAAAAGTTCTGAATATTGACCGAGAGGGTTTGCTAGGGAAAAGACCAGAAACCAAATGAACACATAAGTAGTCCATGCAAACTTGCCTGTAAAATAACGATTTATTTTAATACTTAAAAAACACACACAATCCAGTGATAAATGTCAATTACCAATAATCAGCATAAAGTGCCAAACAGCCATACAACTTTTTTTTTTTTTTTTTTTAATAAACAAAACTTATTGGAATGTCTCTTAATTTGAATACACTGTTCAGAAAGCCAGCATTTAAAAAAATACGCTCTCAGGTTGAGATTTGTTCTCTGTCATCAGGACGCATGAAGACTTTAAAGTACCACTAAAACCACGTTGTGCATACCGTCAATTTGATGTATTGTCATCTTTCTTTCCTCCGGGTTTTTTTAAATAAGTCCACAAGTTACAAACCTCCTCACAGCACACTAGACCACAAGGCCAAAAAAAAAGGTCTCCGTGTCCCATGAGCGCTGATTTGTCCCGCACACTGGGGACCCGCAGGTCTAAGATCTGGATGTGCTTTCTAGCGCATGATAGGACTCTTCACTTGAGAGATTTAGTTAATTTCCAAGCATTAATTATCTTCTCCTTTAAAGAAAAAAAAAACTAGCAAATGATATTTGCAAGTTGCCCTTCTCCTTGTCCTAATGGTGCTGTGATGAGAAACCACCGTTTCAGTTCTTAATCGTCTTCTGGAACTCTCTGTATTTCCTGAAGTGTAAAAATAAGAAGCTTTATACAGTCAAAAAAAAAAAAAATATAAAATAAGAGGTGGGGGGTTGGGTTTGCTTTTTTGTCTTCTGGAACTCTCTGTATTTCCTGAAGTGTAAAAATAAGAAGCTTTATACAGTCAAAAAAAAAAAAAAAATATAAAATAAGAGGTTGGGGGTTTGGTTTGCTTTTTTGTTGGGTTTTTTTTTTTTTTTTAAAAAAAAAAGGTAATACTTTTGGAAGCTAGGATTTTGGGGGGTTTTGTTGGGATTTGGAAGGGGGGGAGTTGTGGGTTGTTGTTTAGTTTTAAAGAGATTCCTGTCCAACACGTGAGCACCACCTTTTGGCATAAAGTTTATCAAAGCCACACAAGTCAGCTAGCACTCTCTGCCTCATTCATGTATGTTTCAAATGCAAAATAATCTTTTCACCCACGACTTAGGAAGTTAGATGCTTTGGCAGGGGTTGGCAGGGGGCGCGGGTTTTGCTCTTCTTAAAGTACAAACAAAAACAAAACACAAAGTTCAGTGCTCCCATCCTGAAAGTTTTGTTTCTGCTCTGGTTTTGGTGTAAAGTCTGAAGGGGAGGAAAAGTTCATAGAAGCTGGAGATTCAGCACTTAAGTTTGGCAGGTTTCAGTTCCTTTACTTGCGTGTGCAGTGTCTTGTGGACAGCTAGCGTTCTGGACTGGCAAAATCCTTTCCCGCATTCTTGACACTTAAAAGGCTTTTCTTTAGAATGGATATATCTAGGGAGAGAAAAACAATCAAGATGTCAGAAATAACCAGCCTGAACTCAGGAGTGAGGTACCTGATGGAGAACACACAGAAGTTATTTACATCTACTGCTGAGACCGCGGATGCCGGAGCGCGGCTTTCAGGTCATCATCTGCACGCGTGTGTGCAAGAAGAGAGGGGGGTGCCGAAAGCTTACAAGAGTTCCTTTCTTAGTGTTAAAAAACTTCTCTCTAACTTTAAGGTTATCAGTCTGCGTGTCTTCATGACACCTCTGAATCATCGCAAAGACAGAGGGCACAAGACCATGCACACGGAGGGTGGAAAAAATCTGTGGAAGCTAAGGAGAAGGCTGTGCAAGCCATTTTTGCAGGGAGACAGAGTACAACAACAGACTTGTCTTCCAAAGGGAGTTATCCGGGCTCCTCCACCAGCAGTCAGCAGAGGAAAACCTAGAGGGGAAAACTGCCGACTGGCCAGGGACGTGACTTTTCATTCAAGTGTCTTCTTGAGTCTAGGTGGCTAACTGAGAGAGCACAGATACTCATGGAAAAAAGGACAAGGGAAGAAGAATCATTACCTGTGATCCCTTAGGTGATCCTGTCTTCTGAAAGCCTTGTGGCAAATGTCACACGTGTAGGGCCGTTCATCGGTGTGGGTTCTTTCATGGATCAAAAGGTTGTAGGACTTGGTGAAGTGCCTGCCGCAGAATTTACACACGAACTCTTTCTTGGTTTTGGATGGTAACCTTCCCCGCGTGGGTTTCTTCTCTGGAGAGAGTTTAGTCACCTCAAGCAAAGACCCCAGCCCTGGGGGTGAGCCCTGATTGTCTGCCTGTCCCAGTTTAGAGTGGTCCTCTTGTGTGGCGGCCACTGCTAAGTTGGCAAAGTCGAAGCGGGGTTTGGCTTTAAGGGTCACGTTGGTGGCCTCTTGCTTGGGCTGGATGACATGTGGGAAGAGCGGGAAGGTGGGCAGCTGGAACCGTGCGTCCACCAGGCTCGACACGCTGGGCACTTTGGAGAAAGAGGAGCGGGGCAGATGCACGGCCGGGTACCCCAAAGTCCACTGGTGCAGGTGTACGGCGTGCAGGGCGCTGAAGCCATAGAGGTTGGAGAGGTGGTCAGAGGGCACGGTGGGAAGCCCGTTGAACGCTTGCAGGAAGGAATAGTTGGTGAGCTGGAGGGAAGGATGGATAGGCACTGGGGCCGGCAGGGTCTTACTTCCCATGGTGGCCGCTCAGGAGGAGGATCTTGGGAACAGGGGAGGAAAAGATCTGGAAAATAAAGATGGAGGGGGGAAGAAGGAGAGCTGGATTTATATGAAAATAAAAGCAGAGGGTACTTCTCACCTCACCCCTTGTTAACAGTCTTCTCCAAAGCCGCAGGAGAAAGCTGCCTTGGACTTGGAGAGGCCTGACCAGCTCTTAGCTGTGAGTGTATCCCCATAGGGCTCCAGACCCTCCCTCTCCCCATCCCTCACGCACAAAATTTGTACCCCATCCACAATCATTCACCCCCTGCAACAGCATCCCTGTGCTACGTCAGCCTCCGACCATCCCCTGCGCAGGGACAGTGAAGAGATGCCGTTTTGGCCCACAAAGCTCAGGCTTCTCCCACGAAATGTAAAATCCCTTCCTGAGCACCCTCAGCCTTTAGAAAATAGTTGGATACTGCCCACTATGTCTGTCCACAAAAACTGCCTTTAGCTCTGACCCTTGAGGTAACTCAGGACCAGGGTGCAGAGAGGTCGCTGCCCCTGGGCGGCTCAGCTGCCTGCAACCTGGCCTTAGCCAAATCTGCCTCTGGGGTGGTGGAGGCAGTTGGGTGCTCAGAACTGCACATCCTCCCTCATTCTAAAAAATAAAATACACAATTATTATTATTTTTTGGAGGGGGGGGGGGACGGGGGGGGACAGGGGAGGCGAGGAGGGAATACCAGCCAACAGCCTTTCCTCTAATGTACTGCAAAAAGAAATGGGAAAATGCTGGGTTCGGGTAACAAATCTGAAGTGCCATTTGCTCTCCCCAGGGGGAAGTGCCTGGCTTCAAGCCCACGTCCTAATCTAGGCAATCGCTTAATTAGAACCCTTCAAACTGCAAAAAAAGGCGAGGGCTGGAGGGACCCTTCCCATGGGGACACCCAGCCCACCAGCTGCAGAGCCGCAGGGCTGCAGCCCTTCCCTGGCCTGGGTGCCACCACTTTTCTCTGCGTTTCAGGGTCCTGCCAAGCCCCCAGCCTCTCCTCTGGGCCAGTTCCCTACCCATTCCACCCCACAAAGCGAAAGACAAAACGCTACCAGGCAGCAGCATCGAGGCGCGTCTGGTCCTTGCCTGCAAATTCAGCCCAGGCTGCTGTCAACGATTTGGCAGGAGATGCCTCCCAAGGGCTGGTGGTGGGGATGCAGCTTCCCCTCTTTGTGGGTGCGAGACAGCACCCACAGCTTTTGGAGGCGTCACAGCCCTGCAGCCCAGGGAGCCTCCTCCTGACCCTGCAGCACAGAGCTCAAACTCATTCTCCTGTGGCTAGCCCTGGGATTCATCCTCAGTGGGGATGTTTTCCAGCAGGATCACCATAAAGTCCTCACCGGGTTCTCATAAGATCCCCACAGGATCCCAGTAAGACTAAGTACTCAGCCTTGAGGGTCAGATCATCCCCACATGAAGAGTAAAGGCCCTTTGGAGAAAAGGAGGCAGTAAAGTGCTGCAGAGTAGTAATTGTCCCTCTGGGCTGGAGAGGTGGAAACTGGTGGCAGAAGAGGTCTAAAGACCAGGGAAACAAATCTGATTTATATGTGGGCTGTTGCCTGGACCGAGGAGCTGTGGCTGGGAGGGTGTGAGAGGGAGAAGCTTCCTCTGAGCAGCTCTATAAGCCAGATCCACCTTTCACACCGCTTTACATAAATCAGCAGCAGGAAGAGAGACCCAAACCTTAGAGGAATTCCATCGCAATGACCCAGAATAAGAGATTGTGACATTTTACCTTTTTTAATTGGATACATTTTGGATCTTGGCTGTTTGAAAAATGCACACATTACGTTCTCCTCCCTTTTTCCCTCACTTTTTTTTTTTTTAAAGAAAAAATACTATTTAAGGGTGATGAACCAACTGGACTGTTTTGTTATTTAACTGGGGAAATGCTTTTTATTTTGTTAGTGCTGCCTATACACTAGACATGTTCACTTCATGGCACAAATATCTCAACTGATGACCCCGAGAGAAAAGTACGCAAAAAACACCCCAAGCTTGGTACCTGAAACGTCTGTTTCTGTCTGTCACAAGGGCTCCGTGTCTATTTTCCTGTCTAGGTGGCCCTAGATCTCTCAAGCAAGAAACATACTATTGCAAACTGAGTTAACTTCTGGGCTTAACACCTTTCTTTCTTTGTATACTTAGAAAACATTCAATATGGAATATATCAGCAAAAAATTACTACGCTAATTTGGGTAAATTGTTGCTCGATAGCATTTAAAAATTTCTCTTTCCATTTTCCTGATGAAGAAGGAGGCAGAAACCAAGGAGAAATACAATCGGGTCATAATAGCATCCATTGCGTCCGCAGTTTTTTGCTAGAATGTTTTTACTACTCAAAAAAAAAAAAAAAAAAAAAAAAAAAAAAAAAAAAAAAAAAGAAAGAAAAAAATAAAATAAAAAGAGAGAAAAGAAAAATAAAAGAAAAGAAAAGGAAAGAAAAGAAAACGGAGAAAAGAAAGAAAAAGAGGAAAAAAAATAAGTAGGAAAAGGGAGGTGGGAGTAGAGTGTTCACGTTACTACAAGTTTCTTGGCACTTTTCCAGAAATGTAAACTACACTTTTGCTCTGTGCGACCGGCATAGTCAAAAATATAGGTGAAGAGCAGAGTATTTCATAAAGAAGTCCCCTCTCTTCGGGACATCAAAGCGAACGTGTTTCACGGCGCAGTAACTCCCCGCTCTCCCGCTTGCCCGCAGAGAGATCAATGTTTCTTTGATTTCGGTGTCACCTCCACCTTTAATTCTGTTTCATGTAAACAGATCGTTATCGGGGCTTCTTTTTTATTTTTATTTTTTTAAAGAAGACGACCCCGCGAGTTCTCTGCTTGAATTCCCCCATCACAATAAAACTGTGCGGGGTTTTCTTTTTTAACACAAACTAGCTCGGTGAGTAATTAAGAACAAACCACTTGTGTTCTGACTGAAACAAAACCCACTCATGCCAAGATAAATTTACCCTGCAAAATAGGATCATAAACTTGAAAGACTACATCTGTCTCCAGCTTTCTTACCCTTTGTCCTGTTTGAAGATACGGTAATGCTATTGTCCAGTTGCCATTGTTTTAAAACCATTGTAATCTTAACCTTCCAGATTAAATTCTGCCTCTCCTACACGCCAAAAAAAAAAAAAAAAAAAAAAAACCACCCGTATTTCTGCTGGTAGCATAGCAAGGGGGGGGAATTAAATGGATTTTTAAGCAATCTTGTGGCTAGTCGGTATTTTTCCTTTCTACCTTGAATTATCAATTTCCGATGTGTCCTTTGAAAGGGATATTTGTTACATTAAATACCTGAGTCATAAATAATGAGGTTTGCTAATTAGTTCCACATGGGAGAATGGAGGAGGTAAATTACCCTGAGAACGTTGCTTATTTTTACAAACATGATAAAGTAGTGGGCATAAAATGCTGCATTCTTGGGATAGCCTCAAACTACAGCAATCAGGTTCATCTGTCAAAAAAAAGTCCCCCTGTTTTGCCTGAATCCTTTAAAGTCTGGTAGCCCTGTCCTTTCGGCTGCATCCCATCGGTGTGCAGCATTTTGCCACCAGGTCGGCTACTTATTTTGTCCCCTTTGAGGGGACGAGATTTTCCCTTCCTATCAGTTTAAGCGAGGAAATGGAGCTTACAATTTATCTGTGTTTGGGAAACTAACTGGAAAGGGAATAAAATTGCCCTTTCGCTCCGCATTATTCGAGCGTGGTGCTCTTGGGGAATAAAGTGCATCGTTCAGCACAGATTTATTCAAAGTATTAATGAAGTGTGCAGAATCTATTAAAGCAGCTTTATTCGGGGCTAATTGAGCGTGAAAGAGTTAATTGCTAACATTAATGAGGACTGGAAGGACTCAGTCAGCATATGCCTTGGATACCTCCGGTCCATCCTTTATAAAATCATCATTCACGTTTTATCACGAAATCGGTGTTGACAAGTTTCCCCAGACCACCGGTGCGAACGCGGATGAATGCGGCGGATTTTAAGCTCTCAATAATAATAATAATAATAATAATAATAATAATAAAAAATAACGGGGGTCCGCCTGCACCAGAGATCGCTACACTGCCCGGGGGAGCCTTTATGAGAAACAAACACAACAAAACCATCCCTGGGCCCGGGTCCCGGTGGGACCGTGGCTCCCCGGGCGGGAGGCGGGCGCGGGTGGGTGCCGGCGGGGCGGCCGCGGGGGCCAGGCTCCTCAGTCCTCCCCCTGCAGAAGTTTTTAGGTTGGTTTAGGGGTTTCGCGTGTGTGCTTTTTTTTTAATCCCCTCGGGTGCGGGAAGGCCCCCAGCAGAAGATTTTCCTTCTCGCTTTCTCCCTAGAGAAACTCCCGGCTGCCTCCCCTGCGCACGAATAAATCGTTCTTCCTCTCTCCCGGAGAAAGGGAGGATTTCTTCCCTCTGCTCTCCTTGCTTCCCACGGCCACAACACGCACGGCCACGGTGGTAAAACTTTTGGGGTGACACCCCCCGAGGGACCCCGCATCCCCGGCCCGGCCGCCCCGCAGCCCGGCTCCCGCCGCGGAGCAGAGCGGAGCAGCGCGGTGCTGCCGCCGCGGGGTCCCCGGCTCAGGGGTGTTTTAGAGGGTTGGCCCTTTTTCTCGACTGGCTTCGGATTTACTAAACTGGACCGACTGTGCACCTGTCCGGTACGCGGCTCTCCCCCTCCTGCCCCGCTCGCCTTTGATCGGACAATTCCCGCAGCGCTACGGTAATCTTCAAAACCCTCCGGTTTTATAGTTTCCCTCCCAAAAGCCAACTATAACAACTAGACCCTAATCCTCGGCTTTGCACTGACACTTTATAGGCTCTGCCTCGAGAGAAGCTCGGTCTCTTCCTAGGCTGAACTTGTTTTGATCCGTTCAGACAAATATAAACACCAGATTCATTTCTATTATGGCCTTGAGAGGAAATAGAAAAGGCTTTTCGGACCCTAAAACGCTAAAAATGGAGTATAACAGAAGGGCGAAAAGGACAGAAAGAGAGAACAGAAAGAAGAGAAAATGAAAGAAAAAGAAAGAAAAGAATAGAGAGGAGAGAAGCTGAACGTTCAAGTCCATAAAGGACCTTCAGGCTTCTGTTTTGCAGCTCGTATGTGTCATTTTTAGCTCGGGTTAAAAACACAGCTCCTCCGCAAGGGGGGATAAACAACTTTGAAAGGGGAAGACAAGTCTTTAAATAGCAGCAAAATATCCGAGCCCTATGTGAAGGCTTCCCCCAGCCCTCCGCCCGCCCCGAGGAGAACAGTCCTCCTCACGTGAACCACAGTTTCCCCACTTCTGCACCATCCAGAGGATGGTGGGAGGGGATGGGGGGAAAGGAAGAAAGGGGGGGAGAGAAAATGAGGTGTTTGGATGGATACCCCCAACCCCTGAGGCTTGGCAAAACAAAAAAACCAAACAAAATGGGTTGTTCTTTTTATTTACCTAATCCCGATCTGTGCTCCACCGCTGGCAGCAGTTAAAAGATCCTGGGCTAAATTGGAGCTGGTAAAATAAAATAATGGAAAAAAAAATAATAATAGAAAAAAAAAAAAAAAAAAAAAAAAAAAAGCTTTTGATTTACTGCTGTTCATCTATCACTGAAAAAAAATAAGCAGAGTTTGCTAGGACATTGATAAAATCAAGCTTGGCTCATAAATTGAGGCTAGCTTTCTTCTTTTCCAGATACCGGATTTCCTTTTGTTTCCAGGACAGGAAAGACAAATGATTTCACAAAAATCAAAGGCTGGCGAGGGAAGCTTCATGGTGCTTCTAGAAATGAAGGTAAAAAAAAAAAAAAAAGGGAAAAAA